CACAAACGCTCCTTCAAGATCTCTGCAGCAGTCAGCCAGGCTCCACCTGTGTTTCAAAGGAAAATTGGATGGACTGGTCTGAGTCATTTTTGCAGTTTCTCGTTGTACTGAAGATAGAAAGAGAAATTGCAGATTAAACATGATTAAACACATCGTCAGTTTCCAAGCTATTGACAAATCTTCGTTACACGCGTCACCCACAAGCCTGTTGCATATGCTGACGCAACATAGTGTCATCTTGCACTGGCCCCATATTGAATTTGACATACTTTGGTGGTGATCTTTGAGAGGGCCGTGCTTCCAGGATGCTACTTGCAGTATCTTGAGGTCAGTATCATGTGGCATCCAAGCTAGCTGTGGTTGAAGTACAGCAATTCCCCTACTCCTACCCCGAATACAAGAATTCATTGCAGCCCGCCCTCTTGAGAAGCAGCCACATGAAAGCAACACTGCACGCAGCAGCTTGAAACAAGTGCTACCTGGATATCCAAAACATATCTATTAAGTCTTTAGAATGAGTATGAGGGCAATTTGAGGCAGTATAGAACTATCCCTCTCTGGTCTTTTTGAGGAGAACCATCAAGGAACGGGCAGTGGGACTGCTCAGCGTTTGTTGCAAAGTGTTGCAATGTAATAGAGGTGCAGCCTTTCTCGCAAGCGTTGATGACAGCATTGGCTGCAATGATGCCCAAGGTGACATTGAAAGCAAAAGCCTGCCGTGGAGCTGTGTAATTAGTGAAACAGCTACAGGTTGTTACCTGTGCTGCACTAGGATTTGAGGTGTAGTTACTACAATTAGGAACTATTACTACAATTAGGAACTACTCACACCTTGATGCTTGCATCCATGAAGCGTAAAACAGCAAAACCATTGCTGGCATGTCATGGATTGGCCTCTTGCCAACGCCCTGCTCGTGCCATAGCAGACGTGATGGAGCCGTCCGAAACTTCATTTTTGTTCCTGAATGTAGTTTGGCTTCTGAGACTGGTGCCGATTGAATTGGGTTTCCACATCGTGGAGGCTTTCTGTAGCTTGTTGCGATCAACTAAGTGTGCCAAGCGTATCAACAATGCACATCTTCACTCAAAGTAGATGCGTCTTTTAATCTCGGCACAACATGACTAAAACCTCAAGCGACTACACTACATCATTTTGCATGTTGCTTTTCTTGTTGCTTTTCTTCATGCCGAAACAACAAGTGTGTTCCGTGATTTTGTGCTCCATGTGATTCCTTGCCGAGCTTCAATCGGATCAAAGGCAGCTGGCCCAAGAGATCCAAGGCCCAAGGCCATTCCCTGAGGAACACGTTGCTTAACATTGGCAGTTCGCAGTGTTCATTCCAAATCCCCACAGGCCTCCCTCTGGTTTGTCCCTAAAACATGTCATTTGGGCAAAGCCGAGGGTCTCACAGGCATTGATGACTGCGTTGCAAAGAACGAGGCTTGGGCCAGTTGAGAACTCACAAAGGACCTCCGGAAGAAGGTGCTCACAACATCGTTCCTTTGGCCCAGACCTTGCTAACTGCTATGCCACCTCATAAGAGTCTTAATTAATGTTCCTTAATTCGTGTGTTATCTTTTGTTGCTTATATTTTTTTGACACGTTCAAAATTCAATGAACTTTTTTGGCCAAGACACTAGGAGCTCGGCTGTCTTTTGCCACTTGAAGCAGGTGCTTGCCGTTGAGGAATAGGTGATAACCTCTTGGCGACCCCCCTGGGCCCCTGGAAACCTTTCGGGGTTCCAACAGCAATCATATAGATCGGCAATTCTTTGGTGTAATCACATGCAATATCAAAGGCAGTTGGATTCAGCAGTGCACTATCCCTGGAGGCTAGATGTAGCTTAGCAACCATCCCGCTTTGTCCGCCAAGTTGCACTAGGAGTGAGGCGCCTTCTGGGGAGACCAAAGAGCAAATCCAACGCTCGGGGCCAGGCTTCATCTGTTTGATCATCTCCTTTCTGACCACCTGAGCACACGTGGCAGTTCCCTGCTTGCCCATCGAACATAAAATCAAACACAGTACACCATGCAAGTTCCAGTCTATCCCAAAATATCACTTTCAAATCTTTCTCAGAGCCGCTTATCGCAGCATTGACAGTTATTGTGTCGGCCTTTTGCTGCCGTTCCTGTCGCGGGCGACAAACATTTCATTGATGCTTATTCTTGCATACTGTAGCAAAGTCATCGGAAAACAAACATACAGTGTATTGAATCCTGAAGCTTGTCCAGTAAGCGCAAAGTATGAACCCATTTGGCCCCTTTCTCGAAGGAACTCAAACTGGCATTGTATGCAACGATGTCTGGGAAACCTTGGCAAATCCAGCACGGAATCAATCGGCTAAGAGACACAATCCTATGACAATATTGACTTAATCCCTCTAGATGCCTGCAAGAATCCATCACAACTACCATCACAGGGTTCTTCTAGGAGTATCTGTGCTCTTTGCCATTCGCTGCCCTTCTCACATGCAGTGATGCAGGAGCAAAGTGTAATTCTGTCCTCACCATCATTGCTGACATTAGCCCATTATGGGCGTTATGAACTGCCTGAGGTACAGTGAAAAACAAACACAGAAAACAAATGACACCCAGTGAGACTTCTGAAGTTGAGGAGGCCCCTGCAAAGAGCTGCAAGTCACGTCCTCCGCTTCCATTCGAGCTCTGGCCAGGCAGGCAGCCTTCCATTCACCCGACTTCGCAGAGGCGCTCAGAGCCGAGTTCAAAGCGATAAGGTCTGGCTGTAGAGAGGACAGCTCCTGGAGAAATGATGAGAAATCATAAGTCGAATGTCCGCAACATCAGCTTTGTGACCGACATTGAATCAACAAATCCAGGCGTGCATACGACATACGGAAACTATATAGGTCTATGGCAGATATTACGCCGTGTGTCAAGTCAAAAGTGGCAGTGTCAACATGTTTGTTTTCCATTGGCTTTACACTACCATTCGCAGATTTCATGGGGATCAACATTTTTCGTACGTCTATTGGTGTTAGGATGTGGAACCTCCTGGCCACTGCGTTTCATGTCAATAAACGTGGATTTGAAAGCCCGGGAACTACTTTCAACCTGCATTGAAGACATATGCTTCTGTTACATCTAGCAACATGTACATCCGCAAGTCTAAGTTATCTGGTCAAGTATATAGATCTTGGAAAAGTCATGTCCCAAGCAATCAGTTGGTATGAGTTGGCAGTCTCCCCTTCCTACCGCGGACCAACGGGTGTAGTGGGTTGACCTCACGCTCCTACCTGGAACGAAAGCACTTGACGGTCAAGGACACATCCGCCCCCTGAGCTTCAAGGAAACGTTCACTTCTGCAGGACGACCAGTGTTGCAGCAACTCTTGTGGATTCACAGGCCCAAGGCTTTGCCTCCACTGCCACTGTTCATGTCTCCTTCGGGCTAAACTCGTCTCCTTAACCTATGGTCCAACATGAAACCTGAACCGATACAACACTTACATTCGAGGCCCCCTGCCAAACGACGCGGATCGAACACGGATCAACAAATGCTATTCCCCCGCCCCACCCCGCAGGGGGTGGATGGGGACTGAAACCACCCGAAACCACACGGGGATATCAGAGCTCTACCCTTTCCTCCTGCAGCAGGAGCTCGTGCGCCTGAGCAGGACATCGTGGGGGCACAAGGTCAGCTCCGTGTGAAGGGAGGTGGAGGGACGCGTAGCGTGTGTAGCAGGCGTACTGTAGCAAGGCAAAAGAACTTGCTCTGGAGGTTGCTCACTGAGACTTTGATTCTTTTCCGAATCTAACGCAGATTCAAGAGTTCTGCTGAAGGGCTGGACATCTTGCTCAAGTTGAACTACAAGTGATTCAATTTGATTCTGTTTGATCAGTTTGATAATTGAAACTCGCAAATGCTCGACACTCCTCTCCCTGCCTGCTGCCAAACCTCGCTGCACGCACTAATCGCTGCGTTGAAGGCAATGCAGTCTCCATTGCGTGGGAGCCTCAGCACCGGAATATGGGCCGCCGAAATCCTTTGAAATCGGTATTCGACCTGTTCTACCTCGTCTCCAAAAGTGTGGAAAGCTTATGACAACTTGTGTACAGCACTCTGTGCACAAAATGCGAGGAACAAGAACGTCGCAAAGCGCCATGCTTTTGCTTTTTGACATGAAGTGATTGCAGCGCTGAAGGCGATGAGGTCGGCCTCGAAGGTCATCTCCTGAAGATCGGGTCGAGCATCACGTCGCACTTTGAGATAACCCGCCGCAGCCATATTGGTCGTATTGGCAGCACATGGCAACATATGGCAACCGTGACATGCACTGTACAATCAAGCACGTTGCGCAAAGTATCCCTCTACTTGCCACTATAAAAACATATATATATATATTATACATATATTATTTTCCAACAATCGCTACCCATCTGCCATATTCAGCCCTTGTGTCCTCCACCTGCACCAGGAGAGATAGACTCTGCAACCAGTGTGCTCGGTGGATGGCGGTACCTGTAGCGGTGGGACATACCCTCCAACCTCTGCATTGCAATATTACAATTATATTACAATTACACGAGCTCCACAGCAAACAAAACACGAAAACAACGAGGAATTCGTGTAACAAGCAGCACATAAGCACATGCTAATTCCGTGTGTTTTGTTTTCCACGGGCACTGTAAGACTTCAAACTCAGAGACGGCACAGCATGAGCTGCATGCCGAGCGGGTGACATGGGCTGCATGTGTTTTGGCAAATATCATCATTGGGGAATTTGATGTTTGATAAAATTGGCAAACAACACAGAATTACTTATGTTCTATGTCCATTCTGTGAATGTCATTCAATGTAATGTCAACAACCTCTTGCCTGTGGTTTTGGTGTCTGCAGGCCTGGTCTAAGCCACAAGCCCCCGGGAAAAAGCTATAAGTGTTCCTCAATGACAATTAACGATTGTTGCTTCCAAACAAATCATCGTTTCCTCCTAGAGTCCTTGAGGATTGTGCAAAGCTTGAGGACATGAGGCTGGCACGGCTCGTGGACCACAGAGCCACCACATTGCCATGCGCTGAAACCGATCTCCATCTCCTTGAATCCAGTCGAATCCGCACACCAACTCCGTCGAGCTGTGCCTATTCGTGCCACCCCAAAGTCTGCTACGGGGGTCCAGTGCTCCTCACCACCGTAGATCTGGAGTTCAGGGTCATAGCCTGCAAAGGAAAGGGTCCGACATGGAAACACACGGAAAACATCGTGCCAAAACTGAAGAACGTTTAACACGTTCCGTATACAGCTTTGCCCCTTGTCAGCTTCAAAGGGCCGGCCAAGTTCTCGCCTCCCAAATGGAGAAACCAGGCTCGGTCCTCCCCGGTGCGAAGGGGCTGAGATGTGAGAGGTTTGACGGACAAAAAGAAAAACGCCTAAAACGTGAGATGAAAAAGAACAAAGGTAAAGTGAAACGGTAAATACATGTAAATACCAACAAAAGGGTACAAACCTGACCCACCAAACCTCGTTTTGTTCGTGTCAAGTGTGTTGCACTCTGGATGCCGCTCCACGGCGAAGAGACCGCCGCACAACACGGTCGAGGGCGCCATGGAATCCTCGTGAAACGTGAAGTCGAAAGAATAGGAACAAAAGTGAAGAAACAACAAGCCAAACAAGAGCACTAAGGTGCAAACATACAAAGGTAGTAGCTCGTCGAAAGGTAAGAACCGAGAAAGACAGAGAAACCCTGAAAAACATGTACTATCATGTAATGACTGTGTGTCATATCTTTTCTTAGCGCCTAAAGTGGTCGGTGGGGTGGGACGTAGCCGGTGCCGCCGCACACGATGCTCTTTGCTCCTAGTAGCTTCTTGTTACTAGTAGTAAGGCCAGGAGCCCCTAGTAGCGTCCTTGCTCCTAGTAGCGATGCCAGGAGCCCCTAGTAGCTTCTTGTTCCTAGTAGTAAGGCCAGGAGCCCCTAGTAGCGTCCTTGTTTCTAGTAGCGATGCCCTTTGCTCCTAGGCTCCTAGTAGCGTCCTCTACCCCCTTTCCGGTTCGCAGTTGGCGCCTCCCGCCTCACCCTCGGGCCGTTCGCGAGGCTTTTGGTTCAGCAGCCAGTTGAAGCTCACCAGGCCCAAACCATAGACGGCATAGCTGAAATCCTGAAAAGGATCCGCTTCAAATATACTGATCTATATAGACATAGGTCAATTAGGACTACTAGCCGTTTTAGATGCTTTTTTTGTACCTAAAGTATCCTAAAGTCATGCCTTTGACAAGCTAGTACCAAAGATCAAAATCGCCAAGCCAACTGATTAGCTAGTCAGCTCAACTCGATGGGCGCCAAAGTGATCCCAACTGTAGCTAGTGACGTCGGCCGTCGAGACCGTCTCCAACTCCTCAGTGTCGATGCCGTCAATGCTGGGCACCACTAGTCTCGTACGGTCCTGAACTGCACGAGCACAGTCTGGAGTTCTGACGAGAACATCCAGCGGAGCAAAAAAGCTCCTAGTAGCGTCTTTGCTCCTAGTATGGCCAGGAGCCCCTAGTAGCGTCCTTGCTCCTAGTAGCGATGCCCTTTGCTCCTAGTAGCGTCCTCTACCCCACCCTACCTCGGAGATCCGCCACAAGAGCGGCTCCAGCCAACCGGGTGTGGCCTAGCAAAAAGGAAACGCCCAACTGCCTAGACTGTGTAGGCATCTTGTGTCAAGGTGTGTGACGTGGGATGACGTGGGCGGTAGGTTGCCGAGTAGTGACAAAATGATCGAAGTGGACATCATGTTAATCTTGCTGACCGTGCTATGTCCGATGCGATAGCCGAGCTCTGGCCTTTCACAACTTGACGACTTGATACTTGTAGGTTGGAGGCCATCGCTACTAGGGCGGAGGCCATCGCTCTTAGGTTGGAGGCCATCGCTACTAGGTTGGAGGCCATCGCTTCTAGGGTGGAGACCATCGCTACTAGGTTGGA